GGCGCTTGCAGCGCTGCCCTCAGCTCCCTGCTCCCTGCGCCCTGCCCTGCTGACAGGGCCCCCTCCCTCCTCGGCAGCAGCAGGGGGCCAGCATTCCCAAAAGCTTTTCCGTAGCGGCATGTAGTCCGTTTGCCTCGGTTTCGAGGAAATCGGCACAATTTGAGCAAACACTTGGCTGTTTCTATGTACGGCTGTATTGCTTTTAGCTGTACATCAGTGCGCTACAGACAGTGAGTGCAGGGTAGGAAATAGAAAGTTATACAGCGTTTCTGCTTTGATGTAGCTGGATATCCGGTCATTTGGAATAAATCAAAATTTATTTCCCTGGTTTGGGCAGGAACATCCCCTACCTTCCCCCCACACCCCCCAAAGCCTGGCCACTCAAGGTGGTCTGCTCCAGAGGTCAGGCTGACTGGCCTGTAGTCCCCTGGATCCTCATTCTTGCCCTTTTTGAAGCTTGGAGTGACGTTGGCTTCCAGTCCTCACACACCTCTCCTGTCCTTCGTGATTTGCCGTAACATCTGCCAGCTCCCTCAGCACTCACGGATGCATCCCATCGGAGCCCATGGATTTGTGAGTGTCCAGTTTGCCTACAAGATCCCTAACCCAATGCTCCTCGACCAAGGGGCACACTTCCTTCCTCCAGACTTCTTCCCCTACCCCCAGGGTCTGGGATTCCTGAGGACCAGCCTTAGCAGTAAAGACTGAGGCGAAGGCGGCATTCAGTACCTCTGCCTTCTCTGTATCCTCCGTCACCAGGGCACCCGCCTCATTCAACAGGGGGCCCACGTTCTCCCTGGCCTTCCTTTTGCTACTGATGTATTTGAAGAAGCCCTTCTCAGTGTCTTTGACATCCATAGCCAGATTTCATTCCAAGTGGGCCTTCACCTTCCTTGTTGCATCTCTGCACACTCTTGACAATATTCCTATGATGTTCCTTCCAAGTGGCCAGTCCCTTTTTCCACCTGCTGTAAACTTCCTTCTTCCCTTTGAGTTTTGCCAGAAGCTCCTTGCTCATCCAAGCAGGCCTTCTGCCTCCTTTGCTCGATTTCTTCCTCGTAGGGATGCCCCGATCTTGAGCTTGGAGGAAGCAGTGATTGAATAGCAACCAGCTCTCTTGGGCCCCCCTACTACAGCCCTAGCCCATGGGATCCTTCCCAGTAGGTCTTTGAAGAGGCCAGTACGCTCTCTTGAAGTCCAGGGTTGCAATCCTACCGATTGCCCTCCCTCTTCCACACAGGAGCCTGAACTCCACCATCTCATGGTCGCTACGGCCAAGGCTGCCTGCAACCTTCACACCCCTGCCCAGTCCTTCTTGGTTTGTTAGTACAAGGCCCAGCGGTGCGCCTCTCCTTGTCGGTTCTCCCACCACCTGAGCCAAGAAGTTACCGTCGGTGCTCTGCAGGAACCTCTTGGACCGTGGGCGCTTGGCTGTGTTGCTTTTCCAGCTTCTCCAGCAGATACCAGGGTAGCCAAAGTCCCCCATGAGAACCAGGGCCTGTGTCGGTGAAGTTCTGTAAAGTGTTTTAGCATGATGATGTATGGGGCTGTGGCTTAGTTTTGTATTTTTAAGCAGTGTAAAGCTCTGTTGATTTTTTTGTTGTTGTTGTTTTGCCAGCTCTCAGCTCTGATAGCCGACAGCTCAAAGAGGTGATTTGCCATCTTCCCCTTAGAAAGAGGCCGGGGTTGAGAGGAGGTGGCTTTTCTGGTCCCTTTGGGCTGATGGCGGATGCGGAAAGCATTCGCCAGGATCCAGCTCCCTCTTGCGGGGACCTGCGCAGGAGGAGCCTGCAGAGACGTGACAGGGCTGGGGGGGATGGATGGATGGATGGATGGATGGATGGATGGATGGATGGATGGATGGATGGATGGAGCATCTGCAGGGAGGGATCTGCTTCTGTGCCGTGGTTTTCTCTACACTTACTGTTAATTCTGGTCCTTGCTCGAGCCTTTAACTCTGCTTAAACACCACAGCTCCATCTCTGTTCATTTACTGGCAAGTTCTGGGCTCTCCCTGTTTGTGCATCTAGCCCAGGGATGAAGGGGGGCCTGGTCTCTACAGCTGGGCTTGTCTCCAACTCTCCAGTTTCATGACAAGTAATAACCCTCCCTTCGAAAAAGATCTAAGGCAAGGAGCAGGTTCACCGAAGCCCAGCTCACCGAAGGATCCAGCTGCTGTAGCTGTTGGCCACTGACGGCCTTCAGCTGCTCCGAGCAGCGTTGCCGTGCGTTACGTTTTCTGACAAAATCACAGGGGGCTTCACTCGGGCGCCGTCACCGCGTGTCTGCTCAGCTGTCACACAGGAGCGAACCGGGTGTGCTCCCACGGGGCACCACAACCGCCAGAACAGCTCCAGCTTATTTAAAAGCCGTGGCGCTGTTTAACGAAGGAGGGCGCCGCTTTTGATGACCCAGTCGGGTGTCTCAAAATAAAGCACCTCCTGGGAGGGGGGGGGGTGTGTGTTGCTGGAGGTCAGAGGGCAGTTTTCATTCGGTTTGGTACCTCAAGATGCCCTGAAGAAAAGCAAGTCTAATTTCATCCCGAATCGGACATTTTTGCGAGCGGGAAATGAAAATTTGATCTACAGCCCCCACCGATCCTCCGTTCGCCTCCATTAGCTCGGGTGAATTGCGGTCTGGGTTACCCTGCTCAAGCCCCTGCTGTCGCCCAGACCCGTCTGTCCTCGCTTACCCCCTGAGCCGGGTCGGTGCCCGTCCTGTGACTCCCGCTGCAGTAAGGGGAACCAGTACCAGT